TAGAACCCGAAGAGTAATAACAGTCTGGTGAAATATAGACTTTGAACGCCGGAGATCCTGGGATGGATTACTGTAAAAAATCAAATTTATCTCTACTGCCAATTTCCTTGAACAAGGATTCCATCCCATGTCGATTCAGAAATACCGACTGGCAAATCGTTAAATTGCGAACAATTGGGATAGCACAAATGTTCTATTGCGGTCATGCAAGAATTGGCAGAAGATATGGCCATGCTATATGATGCGAGTCACTCTTAGGGATGAGGCTCGTTTTTTATCCATCTGATAGCTGGCTATCCGGGGTGATAATCAGCAACAGACATGAACCCAAAAACAGATTGACGCCCGCCAACCATAATCAACAGTGACTTCAGACGTTCGCAGTGATCCAAAGAAAATCAAATCAAACGGAGAGAGTAACTAGAAAAGTAATTGACGTTAAAACGTGCTTTAACTTTTGGACAGCAACACTAGCAAGCTACTAGCATTCATGAGGTTTGCCAGTTTTCCTGACATGGCATGAAATTATTCACTTTCTAGCAATCGTACCTTGATTTGACGACTGAAACATGAACTCTACCAATTGGTATCTCACTTTCTAGTTAAACGATTCTCCAGGAACCACTGGAGATGTTCACTGCCAATTGAACCATGCCAAAATACGGATTTGGAACAAAAACATTGTTCATGCCAGCGACCATATTCTTGCCGCTAATGCAGACACGGCAAAGTCATTCAACGGGTTATGTAATGCGCCATTGCCTTTAAGCTTGATTCATGCAGCTTTTTTTCTGTCACACCTACTAGCACAAAAAAGTATTTCTTTGATCGCATACACGTAACTTCGCCTCCATTTAAGGGCTGCATATATTTTAGAAACCTTGTTTTTAGTGTAAGCAGCTGACGAGCCACATGGCCTGCTTCGTCTGCGCAATACGTTTCCGGTTTTCGACAACACGAGTTGTAATTCATGGTTTATCATAGGTTCACGAGATATACGCCGCACTTGAATTGTTGTTGTAGTCAACAATTGGCTGTAGGCATCGTTACAATCCTGCAGGCTGTTTGAGACTCGTGACGTTTGCTTATATGCACTTATCCATTTTGATATTAGTAGCCGTTAACTACGTCGACAAAGGAATAATTCCTCAGCGACAACAGATTTCGGACAGGTTCCTCTGCCGTGTATTCTTTCACCGTTCATATTTGAGTTATCACATGGCCAGCTGACGAGCCAGTGAAACTTTATCACTTCTTTCCAAATGACAGAATCACGCATCATCTATTATCTGTCTTTCAGCACCTGTAATACATCAGAAAGGAAGGAAAGTTTGTCACTGTTGGAACGTCGGTCTTCCTGGACCAGCTGTTGACGCCCTTCTTTTCGTGCGATCCTGACCTCGGTTTCTATACCATCAGTAAGGAGTACCTTGCTTTTAATAGGGGACAGTCTACAGCCTGTTCCCTTGCTACAGAGTGATACTTATTTATTATCCTCGGAAAGAAGGACCAGTAATTGAGGTGATACGACGGAATGATGGTTAGTGCTACGAGTGTAAATGAAAACTACCATGATACGGATGTTACAATTCTTCTGACTTCTGACCAGTCCTTTCACAGTGGTTGACTTCCGGGTTTCAAGATCGGCCAATCACCGACAGCCGAGATAAGTTTCTTGCAATCAGCTGCGCGTCGGAACCCGGATGGCGGAAGCGGGCTAGCAAATCGCTGTTCGCGAGGCGACATGCTTTTCGCTCAAATATTTTGCGGCACTTCAAATACGGCACTGACATATTAATAAGCATAAGCAACATATTCTTGTAGCAGGGAAGCAACCACACCTTGGTAGCTTGACAGACCGGCTAAACAAACTGTGGAGATCAACTGTCGATTACGAATCTCCTTCAAGGACGTAAGCAACACCTCCTGAAATCAAAATGCCACATATTTAGGTGAGCAGACATAAGGAATCTTAAGTGGTCTGTCTCATGAAAGTCATAGTCATGAAAATGGCTAAAAATAATGATAATAAAAGGCAGAAACACTGAAACGTGCAAGTGATTTTAGTGTGGCAAAATGTTAAATCTAAAATCTTGTGTCGTATAAAAAATCATAGTTGTAATCAATACATCAGATGATGTTGCTGTGGAACAAGACATTTGTTACAAACAAGGGACATAATTTTCAGGCATATGGTGAGTTTTCATTATAAATGTTATTTATAATGCTCGAAATAAAAATGCTTGAAAATGCTCGAACGACGTTTTGCAGTACATAAACATCTTCAAGCACACGAAAAAGCAATTTACTATAATGAAGAGTAGAGACAAAAATGAAATAAAGTATAAAACAGAACTAAAGTTGTAGACGCATGACCGATCAGGCAAGAATCTTCTTCAGCTTCCGTAACTCTGACATCCAATCACAATAGGAACACCGTACCGTTTGGTTTAAAAACTTAGAGAAATCCGTAATGAAGCCACCGAGGTCAGGCTGCTCGACACAACTCGGTATGTTCAGAAGCGAACTGAAAAGGCGCAGCCACAATTCTGCGTTCCATGATCTTTGAATAGAAACCGTGCTCTTCCATTTTCCCTCAGCCTTCAACTTAAAAGTCGTCATGTACTTTCCATCAATCAGCACACAGATTGTACCCAACAACCCAAAATAATCGGTCTAAAAAACGAGGCAATGCAAATGAGGGAAATATTTGGTAAACAAAAAGAAAATTTTAATTTCAATGAGCAAGGAAAGTCAAACAGAATAAATGGACAGATACGATATACTGACAAGTATCAATACTACTACCAAGTATGTGGTACAAGGAGAGAGTTTACTACACTGAAGATCAGTTGTTCAGCAGACGAAAGACTGGTCATTATAATGAGAGCAACAACGCCCTAAATGCATTTCCGTTTCGATCCTATCATCAAGAAGAGCCTTCCTTTTCTGAAGGCAACTTCAAGAATCGGACTGTCATGATAACGCCCAATCTGACTGTTGAAGGGATAGAGCAATTTATAACTAATCGAAAAACTGGATTTTTAGATTCGACCAGCTCACTGTACTTTCGTTATTCAGCGAAAAAAAATAAGTACTATAATTTTAGAAGAAAATATCCAAAAAACTGCTTTCTGATAACATCAATACAGACTTCAGTGCTGCACCATGAGTCCAATGAAAAAAGGGTGCCAAAATGGTAGTCATCATGGAAGTATGAGAGACGACCGTTCACCGCTTACTAACCTTCATTTTTCATCTCCTTCTTTTCACCTAAGTAATTTCATTACTATGGAAGCAAGAACAATCACTAACCCGGCATGCACTTTAACTAAAACCATTTACCTGGGTCTGTCATTCTATCTATCAGGTTTATCTAGTCCACCGTGGTCAAGAGAGCCCTAAGGCAGACGGGAACTTGGAGACGAACCATTTCAACCATTTGACATAATTTATAGGCATGGATACGGCAGATCGCGCCTTTTCATAAGTGTATCCAAGGTAAAAAATGCGAGGAAACATTTGCGCTGAAAAAGTAGCACTTATGCAACAGAAAAATCTCTTTTCTATAAATCTGTATTTAATAAAATTAATTTTCTGCTGTGTATATCTATATATAAGTACTGTTTCTCTGGGCGGCGACAGAGCTGTCGCTGTCGCAGTAAATGTTGATAGGCTGGGCTCGGAAGGTAGATGGCACAACTCAGGAATAAACAGTCAGAGATCTGAGCAACTCCAGATGAAGAACAGCGTCGCTCAGCATGACAGTTCTTACGGTGTCACCTTTGTATGATCGATTGGGTAGACCGGCTACAACAGGGCGCCCGCACTATCGGCGGAACTGCATAAAATGGCAATGAGAGATGCCACCAATTCATCGGCCGCTGGTGGATGGCAAGACAATCACCATTTCGCAAATCATCGATTTGATCGATGGACAATGGTGATGCCTGACTTTGACATTGTCAGACAGAAAACATGCGGATATGAACCACGGCCGGCTTTAATGTTCGAAGAATATGATACAAAAGAGACAGTCCGGCAGTAAATACAGGTTTGAGTGACTTTTGTCTTGTAAAGTGCATGTAAAATATACATCGGCACTGATGCGTATCATCCACACACGACCAATCTCTAAGCAGCTGACGGGAATGACCTTCACCGCAGCAGATTTACTCTGCAGGCTGCCATGTTACCATCTCGTCTTATCTTCCGTGGCACGGAATTATTTAATTATGGTCAATGGGCACAAAGCCAGCGATACTAAATTTGGATGACAAACATTCTAACCGGTTATATCAAAAACTAACTTTTGTTAGAATGGAATATTATGCGCTTTTCTGGCTAGATATAAATGCAAATAAACTATTTAAGCTGGTGTCTCAATAGCACTTCGTTCAGCACAACACAGTGAAGCGAGTTTCAAACCATGCACCGCAGGTGCTACTATAGCGCGGAGCAATCGCGAGCTTCAAATGTCCCATATGCCTCTAAAAATAAGGGGGCGGTAAAATTGTCGTGAATATCTGGAAAGTGACATGCACAGGGGACATATGATTAAAAGGAATATTATTATGCAAATCGATTGTACAGTGCTTGCAAACCAAGACAAACATGGACTCATGATTGGCTAACATTAAATCATGTTTATACTTTAAATGAACAACCACAGGCGCTTAAATATTAATCTCGAACAAAACTGTCCAATCCTAGCTCAGTATCATTTTAACAGTGTATTTTAATACATTTTCGGTAAGCTGGTTTACCTGATATGTCCAGGGTCGACCGTCCTGCATCTCGCAGCACACAAAATTGGACGTATGTACAACGCCTGTAAAACTGGATCCTGGGGGGAGCAGCGACATATCAATCGATCGGCCAAAGTCTATCAGTTTAATACAGCTGACCGGCAGCTGGACAAAGTCCACATCGTTCACGTCGGTTCCTTCGAGAAACGCTGGTGGACGAACGAAGACAAAGTTATCCGGTTTAATGTCAGCGTGGATGACGTCGATGGCCCGTAACGCATCTAGCAGTTTCAACATCTCTAACGCGAGGTAGGCGACAATCGGCTCTTTCATCGACTGACCACGAAGCCGATATCGATTAACAAGATGAAGCAACGTTTGATGCTCAAAGTATTCCATGGTCATCATTGAGCCGTTAGAAAATACGTAAGCATCCTTAATCCAAGCGAAACCGTTCTCAACCAGATCCAAATTTTTTTGTTTAATTCTGCAAAAAATTGTCTCTGAAATGTACTGCTCCCATGGGCATCCGGGCTTCTGAACCTTGAGTGCAATCTTTTCACTCGTATGCTTTAAAGTACACAGATAGATGTTCGCAAATGCTCCCTTTCCTATTAACTGTTCTACAACGAATGTCTTTGCGTCTAGCAACAAAGAAGTCCCGGTCGATATGCGAGGAAGCAGCTGAGGCAATACGTGAAAATGGCCGCTTTTCGTTTGGAGTCGTCTGACCTTGCCAAGAAGTTTCTCCACTAATGACGGATCCCATGGGTTTATCGTACTATTGATATCCTCCTGAAGACCGTAGCCGGTCTTGTCCAAATCCTGCCCATCGTCCTCAAATTCTAGAAAACAATGGCTAAGTGACAACGGGGCAACAACAAAATACACGAAATTACCTGGCGGTTCAGCGAACATCTCAGATTTTCTAACACCATATTTTTGTTTCGTATCATTTCCGTCAAACAGGTTGCTATAACAGAGGTATGATGACGTAGCAGTTGACATTTACTAAAGCTATGAATAATGCTGATGACAACTAAAAACTAAATTGCGTCCAGCGCTTGGTAATTACCTTATGGGGGGTTTCGATGCCGAACCATTCATGTCATCATCAGCTACTGGAGCGTTGATTGTCACCCCCATCTGCAACTGAGGAATACGCGTGGAAGCCGCGGCAGCAACACTTTCTGACCGGTAGAAAGAAGTAGCGTTCTTGATGTCAAACGGAGTGGTCGAAGGTTTGACAACGATACCACTATGACAGCTTGGTGTCGACCTGAGTTGCAGCTTTTGAGAGGCCACCAATGACTTAGCGAAAGTAGCCTCGCCGATTGTCAAACGAGACATACTCAAGTCTGGTAGCAAGGCTGAAACGGTTTCGTTTGTTCCCGTCAAAGGTCTTTTAGTGACCGCCGGCTTATCGCACATGTTATGACGGGGGGCAACGCCGAATCTCATAGGTTCTTTTCGGTAGCCTACAAACACTGTAATGGACAGATTTACTAACAGTCAAGTGCACAGTCAAACGCTCTTTTACCTGACAGTTTTGTAAATTAGCTCATACCAGTAAAAGTGACTACTTTCCTACCTAACCCCTGAAACCGAGTGGCCGCCTTTGCAACAGTTGTTGAACATCGTGATCACCTTTATTAGACACAAACGAAGTGGTCCGTAGGAATATTTTTAGGAAAGACATTGAATTGAGACAGGTTGAGCAGTGGACAAGTGGACTTTGGAAGACAGATAACTAGGCAATCGTCCATATTGCTAGCCTAAGGAATTGGCTAGAACGATCGCATGAACTGGCTCATGAAGCACTGCAAGCAAGCGAGCAGGCACAGAAGAGCTACTGCGACAGAAGTGTCACCAAAATGAAACTGCAGGCTGAAGATCGCGCATGGTTTGTGGTTTCCAAAGAGAAAAAAAAACAACTGAACTACGGTCGAAGGGAACGGGCCGTTTATTATTCAAAATATGGTAAACGCTCTGTCGTTCATACCAACAGGCTATGTCGTTGTCGAACACAGTCACCGAAATCACCTGTCGCATTCAAATTTCATTCGATCGAAGGCAGCTGCTCGGGAAGAGTACCGTAATGCCGGCTCCGCAAGATGGAGATTTAAAGGAATGAACGGATGGTATTTATCAACCCAGAGAAACGGGGAGCCAGATGCAAAGAATGGCGCTTGATTTCTTGGGTAAGTTGGTGATGGCCGACTATTTCACAAAATAGATTTAAGCATTTACAACAAAGAACGTGAAAACAGTACCTGTTGGCAGACTTCGCGGTGCTTAGATAAATACCATCTAATTATTCCGTTGAACCGTCATCTCGCTGAATGACAAGTCGTTATTAACAAATGAACAACAGAGTTTAATTGCTCACGTTCCTCCGCTTACAAACAGTGACATCCTCTAGGCTCATGCATACAATATTAAGTCACGGACAGCAAAGACTCACGCTTCAGATATTCCCGTTTGCCTTCTGATGCTGATTATCATATGACTGACACAAACGCGCCGGGGAACAAAAATATCGCTTTTCGTTAGATGCCAGCGAATTTAGCTCGAATAACAAACTTACAAACTGAAAACTGATCCAATTCCTGACTTAGAATCGAAAACAAATCGAATGTTTATTGTTTCTGCGAAATATGGAAAACGACAACAAAAGAATTACTTGTGGCTCGACGCTCTTCGAAACTGATTTCCTTTCCTTCAACAAGCACTTGATTCAAAGAGACGATGAGGGGCGCAAGATGAACAGCAGAATCAGCGGTGCCTGAAAAAGAATGATCGCGACCATAGGAAAATCAAGCACACAGTTATTCAGTATGTGATACCAAAAAATAGTTTTGAGCAGTAGTTATTTCTATCTAAGAGCAGTTAGGGGAAAATGGCCTACTCACTAATCATAATAAAATCAAATAACGTTTATTAAGGCTCAACAAATAGGTGCTGTGTCAAAGTAAATGGCGCCGAGTCGAAGCCTTTCAAAGTCGACACTGGCACTTCGCCAAGACAGCATTCATGGTGTCCCTTTTCCCGCTCGCTAAAGGAAGGTGATTGTAGCGTAGGGGCATAAGATTATAACTTGGCATTTCCTCTCTCTTGTCCGAACAGTACCACGTTGCTAAGGGGCAATCCACACTGCTATCATAGATCAACCCATCGTTTAATGACACCCCAAACCTCGCTTCACGTACGTTCATGGGCTGCAGATAAACAAGCAGTTTCGTACTCTCGCTTTTGCTGAAAGGCGTTGCTGCTAAGGCAGAATAGCTAAGGTATCACCCGATGGAATTTTTGGAACCATTTTTTCAAAGATCCTGCATTCACTTCCGCTAGTTTTAAATTTGTCCAGTATAAAGGCAAGCTCTCACCTTCCTTGTCAGTCGTATTAGATTTGAACGCAGACACATGACACAAAAAACACCAGCTTCATTGAATACAGTTTGGTACAGAAGTTGAAATCACGTACCAAGAAACGGAGAAGTAAACGTATTGAGGAACGTAGACGTGCGATTTTCAGCCTCAATGCCATTTCTCGCCAAGAATTCAGCATATGCTCTTTGAAGCTTCTCCGCTGGTTGTGCATGCGCCTCGTGGCCAAGACGATACACTCGAGTCGCCTCCAGCATTTCCCGACGATTTTCATGTTCCGTTGCCCACGTCATATAAAATACTGACAGAGTGGTAAATAACCGGTGACTTTCGAGGCCTTCAAAAATTTTTATCGGTCCGACGTGTTTACTCAAAGATGCCTATAAATAAGTTGCATGCTCTCTACGGTAGAAAAATACTATAAATTAATTTTTATATAACCTTTGTAATAATAAACAGTACTATTTGTTGTATAAAATATCTAAACACCTAAAGCGAATCTGAGAAAGCAGAAAAATGGCAAGTCTTACAAATTTTCGAAAAACTTCGAAAAATCTTTCGTCCTGGT